ATAATAAGTGTCTAATTTAATTGTGTAAAATGATTAACAATATTTTATTATTGAAAAATATTTTACTCTTTTTTATGTTATTATTTATATGTATAACTTCATCATGATGTTTATTATATATTCAATCATATGTGTTATGTTATTATAACATATAATAAGTGATAAAATATAAATGAAAATGATATGAATATATAACATAGAATAAAAAACAAAAGAATAATAAGAATAAATGATAAATAAAACGAGAAATGATAGTCAATGATATAATAATAAAATCAAAGTATAAAAGATAAAATTAATATAAAACAAAAGAGAATAAATATAAAATGATAATAGATATAAATGATAAGAATATAAAAATGATAAAGATGAATAAACAAATAATAAAATACATTTAAATATAAAAGAATAACAATAAGAAAATCTAAAGAATATAAACATAAAAATAATAAAATAAGAAGAATATAATAATATAATAATATATAGATAATAAGAAGATGATAGATAAATAATATAAACAGAGAAATAAATATAAAAATACGATAGATAAATAACATATAAATAAAAGAATAAAAAGAATAAAAATAATTAAATATGATTCATCAAATCATCTATTTCATTAATATTTCATACAAAATGAATACAAATGATAATAAAATATAAACATAAATATTTATATATTCTGTATTTATCATATTTTTTATTTATTTTTATTTTAGGAGCAAAATATAATAAAGTGGAATATTCTAATTATGCAAATTTTTTTGCATCTTTTTTCTTTTTTGCAAATTATTTAGATGCATTTTTTCTTTGCTAATTTTCGTACCCATCTAATAATACCCTTAAACTAAATAAGATAGATTACCACTAAGATTTGTTCAATGTTTTTTTTTATTATTTTAACAGTTATTAATGTTGAAGGAAGATATCTCTATGATATTATTGATGCACAAGACAATGTACTTAATTCTAGAAATGAGGAGAAATCATACAAGTACTTTAAATATGTTAGTAATGAATATCAAACTGAATATTATCCTCTTAATAGTTGTATTGGTTTTACTGATTATGCTGCTTATTTCTTTTATAACAACAATACACATATGAATTTCACTTCTTATGCTACTATGGAAAACTGTAAAAATGCAATTAATCCAATTGAAAACCGTACTCTTCAAATTAACTATTCTACTGTTGATGAAATCAGAGACTCTCATTTTCTCATTTATGTCTATTATGATAAAGGATGTAAAAACTTACAATATATTTTTGGTAAAAAGAAATTATGTTTTCCTCAGGATGGAAGATGGTGGAATTTTACAATAGTAAAGAATACAATCAAAAGTGGGGAATACTCCGACTCATCTTGTTTAGACATTGTTAATAATTTCACTCACGACTTAAA